AAGTGAAACCCTAATTCCTTTGGACTGATCTCGTCACCAGGTTCTAACACTGAAGGCAAGGCAAGGCAACAACTTTAACATTGCTACACCGGAGATTAATTTATCCATTAAATCATGTGTTTCAGATTTCAAGTCTAGCTCTATTTATTTATTTATTGCTCTCTGGAAATGGGATAAAACGAGTATTTCTACAGTGCTTTCTGATGATTGAGCATAATGGTGTTTTCATGTCGACTACACTGCTGTTATATATAATGGGTATATGTCTAAGATTGACTTGTATTGGACACTCACTTGAGTCGCTAACAGAATACTATTTTTGTATATTTCGAGAAATAATGTAGTGCTAGCGCTGATTTAAGCGTTAATACAATTTAGATGTTTCCCCGTTAATTCAACAGTGGATTTGTCATAATTAGACCAGCACACGTTTTACTTGCACCTTCAATTATTGGATGCACTGCTTGTCAGTGGAAATGACTAAATTTGTAAGTATATATTGTTATATATAGATGTATATATATACACATGCACACATTCATTCAAACAGACAGATACAGTTGTTGGGATGCAATAGCCATCTGTGTTTTTTAATAATAAATTAATCAACATATTCCATGTGCATCATTTATTGCCATATTGAGCATCAATTGCAGAGTGTAAAGTTTGTGTAAGATTAAGAAAAAGATTATTCTTAAGAAAAATAATCTAACTTGCACAGCATGCTCTAATTTACCCACATATTTGCACCATGCATATTTTTAGGTGCTCAAGGTATGAAAAATAATTGACATGGAAACGAAACACATTGTGGGGATTGAAAATGCAATTATCCCAAATTTGAGTGCTTTATAGATAAACATGATACAACCATGACAACCATTGTTCATACACCATTTTACATTAAAATTTGGCTAGGTTATTGCTCATGTTGTTGAAACAATATCAAGCTTCTCAAATGTGTGTCACAATAATTTGGCAATCCACAATCATAACATTGGTTGTTGTTTTCCTTTTTATTATTGATTATTTACTATGAGATAAAGTTGGATTTTTTGGCATGTCATTTGCTATGTTCCGTCTTTAGATTTTAGCTTCCTTTACTTTAGCAAAAACATACTTGTCTATTCAATTTGATGAGTCAGTAACAACGTTCATACATCCTCATAACGTTACACTCTTCTAATATTGTATGCAATTGGGCAGTGAGACCTTGATTGGGCTATCTTAATTACGCTGCTGCAACCATTAATTGGGATTGTTTTACCCTGATCCAGATCCTGCAACAGGCCAACTTGGAATGGGTGGAAAGTCCACCTAGGATTATCAAAGAGGTGCCATGTGGACTCTAAATAGTGCTTCGTCAGTATTGAGAGAAACGATTGCATGAAGTCCATGCAACGATGTGATTACCGAGGGATGGTAGTCAACGACGGGATCTGAGATTTAGATTAGCAAGGGGGCGAAGTAGATCGATGGAAGGGAAAAAAAGCAGGTCGAAAAAATAGAGGGAGGGGGTAATTCGAGAATGCTAAATTTTGATGTCGTTTCCACGAACCTTGTCGCGGGGCTAAGTCAGTGAGCGGTGCAGTAGAGCTGACCCACGGTCACGACTGTCTAATTTGCAAGATGGAATGGCTTTTTGCGGAGTAAGTGGCAGGCAAGAGGAAAATAAAGAAGAACAATGGGAGGGAGATTTGCAGCTTGGGGGAAGGCGCAAGACCGGCAGCTAGCTATCTTCGGCAACCGGCGCAACGGAGAATAAGAATATGGGTTCGGTTTTTTTTGTACATCCAAACTTCGAAGCGTAGGCATCAACTGCTCTATCGTTGTGTTCCAGCCCACACGATCTGGCGACTTGTAGCTGGGCGTAAACTTCATATTCCATTCCAGCCCAAATTTGGGGTTCGACGCTCCCTTGCCCCTCACCAATAACGGCATGTGTGTGTGCGCGGCAATCATCAGCAGGGGCAGGTTCTCGTCGTGCGCTCTGTTTCGGAGGAGAGATAGGCATAGTTCTGCTGCCCACTTGCTTCACTTCCTGGTACATGACTGAGATTCTGCATGGTCGGTTCTCCGCCATTGCAGGCCCTTGCTCACTGCGTGTGTATGTGTGTAAGACTGAGAGAGTGTGGGTTCTTTCCAGTTGGAATTTCCAAGTCTTTGTAGTCGTATCGAGCTTGCCAAGTGCTACACGGTGCAAGGCTGCCAGCGTTTCAGGCCCTGCACAGCCCGCCAAGTTTGCGATGGACGAAACGGGGAAACAGACAAGGCGGGGCCAGGCTAATGCGCTTGCTCTCGCTCTCGCTCTCGCCTCGCCACAGCACTAGCACCAGCCTGTGCCTCCTCTCCGCCCCCCTTGACTTTATATTATTGCTTCTTTTTGTGGGTCTTTCATGGACGTGCACAGACAACCTTCACTTCCTACTGTGCATTATGGGAATACACACACAGACACAGACTCATGTAATCACACACAATTCCAATTTGCCTCATGATTTTATCATAGAAGGAAAAATAAAAAACAAAAATATTAAAACACAAAAAAATATTACCTACACTTGTTAGAGATTTTTTTTTTTTTTTTTTTAATACTTTTTATACTTTTTTCTTTGTTTTTGTTTGTGAAAACTGTAAGATCTGAATACAAACTTTTTGAAGTTATAATCTGTGATATTGATGGGGTTTGTAGTGATGGTGAAACTCACACAAAACTGGCTCAGTTCTGGCTCTCAATCATTTGAGCGGCAGTGGTGGCCATTGCTTCAATACTTCACACGCATGTCATCACCACCACCAACAGACCGTAAAAAGGGAACCCTGCTTTGAGTTTGGAATTTCATCAGGCTGTTGTTGCAGGAGATGTTGTTGCATGATGGGCCTGCCACCATTGAGAGTTGTATACATAAATAAACACACATGAGATTACGAAAAGAAAAGAAAAACAAAAAAACAAAACAAAAAAAAATAAATTCTTGATACCAATCCCACAAATCAACTAACATATTGATAACCATGACAAGTTGAGTGCACTTATAATTAAAACAAATTCACTTGTGCTTGTCACAACCTACAAAGTGTGATACTGCAATTCCATTGCACTATCATGAGAACAAAGACAATAATGGACAAGTAGAAAAAAAAAAAATAATGATAATAATGTCATCTTGTGGACAAATCTTACTCTCTCCAGCTTGGCATACTCTCTTTCTCCCCCAACATGTGAGGTGGCAATTAGACAGAGTCCACATGGCACCCTCTTTGTGTTAATAATCCTAGGTGGACTTTCCACCCATTCCAAGTTGGCCTGTTGCAGGATGTGGGTCGGAGCTTAGCAGGGCCCATTCACAGCCACAGCCTCAGCAGCAAGATGCAAAAATGCAATAAATCAAGGATTTTACTGCTAATCCTGTGTGATTAGTGGAGCAGGATTAGTGCAATAGGATGAACGGATAAGTGGATGAACGCCGTCGCTCCATCACCCACAATGGATGGATGCATGAATCCATCCATCCTCTGATTTGGCTTTGATGCTGCCTCACCTCTGCCTCTCCCTCAAAGTAATGCTTTCATAAACAAAAAAGGGCGATTAATAATGCTCGTCACTTCAAGTGTACACTTTCCAGTAGAAGAAATGAAAGTAAAAACAGAAACTCCATGTTGTATAATCATTTCTCTTTTCTCTCTCTCTTTTTCTGTTTTTTGTTTTGTTTTTGTACTGTGGCCAAATCTTCCCATTTTATTTAATTATACTTATGGCAATGTAAAGGAAAGAAATGGGAAAGGACATATGGTACCTTGAACTCCATGATATCACAAACAAATCCTTACTGATTCATCCCACTTCGAAAACAAAGTGTGGCATTCATTGCTGCCCCTCATCTGCTTGGTATTAAACAGGAAGGAATGGAGTACAATGAAAGTGAACAAATAGCAATAAACACAAATGACAGGAATATTTTCAAAGTAAGAAAAATAAATTATAATATATATATATATATGTATGTATTATCACCCACACACACACACTGTCATGAAAACACATATACTGGCTTTATCGTTTTTAATCAATTTCTATAATAATAAATTGTATTCAATATCTTTTCATGGGGTTCAGCTCAAGTACCACATTCATCTGCATGTCTTTCAGTTTAATTGTCACATCAGAAGTCAACTACGCCCCAATGCTGAAGTCATACGTGGCACACAGAGATTGGTCCATCAAACAAACAACTCTCTCCTAGGCTCCCATTGGCAGCTACCCCCATCTAGCTGGACAAACGCAAATCCTACGTGGCATCCGCAGCTGATTGCGTAGCGAGAGCATGCAGCAACACTGTCTGTCAGTCAGTCCCCCACCACTGACCTTAACTCCCTCAACCCCCCCCCTCAATAAATTATATATAAAAAATAAGAAAATAAAATCAGCAGTTAGCCCCATCAATCGGAAGGGGGGCAAGGCTGTGATGGCAGTGTGGCTTTTCTCAGGCAAGAAGTGAGGCCCCAATCGAGAGGTGAAAGCTAAGTGTGTGTGTGTGTGTGTTTTGCCACTGGAATTTAAAAGAACTCAAGGGAGATCATGAAACTGGCTCTTCAATCCCGGCGAAGCGTGAAAACGAACAAACTCTCGCGGATATCCGCCCATTGGGACCCCACTACAAGGCAAGCATCAACAAACACACACACACACAAATCTTCAGTCAAACTGGGAGAATCCCGGTCCAGAAATCCCCGGGGGTAGGGATGGGGGTGGGTGGAAGAGTCACAAATTTTGAATTCCATTGGGGAGGGAGGTAAAACTGAGAACTTTTTGTGGTGTTTCTCGTCGTCTGGGGTGAAGTCTCCGTCGTTGAGCGGCGTTGACAGCTGAGTGGGGGACGAAGGGAGCAGAAAGGACGAGTGCGAGCGGCGGAGATGGTAGGACCCACAAATTGAAAGGCGAAGACGGAAACAATCGACATGGAATACAGGGAGCGGGGACTACATAAGCCACAACCCTGCGCAGTCCACTCGTAGATTGTCAGTCAGGCTCTCTCATTGTCCTTTCTCTTCGCTTACGACTAAAATCGTGAGGATCCTGTCTTCTCTCAGGTTGTATGTTCCCTTTCAACTATCAGTGTGGGTTCGTCTTCGTTGTTGTTGTTGTTGTTGTTGTTACAGTGCAGCATTGTGATAGTGAGAGTGGGGACTTGGAAGATTGAATACATGTCTGTGTGAAGTGGAGGTTGCATATCTCCACACTTGAATCCCGTGAGGAGATTGAAGGAATTAGTTGAATCGCGCAGCAATGGCCAGCTGTGGTGGTCGTGGCGCGAGGTCGTGGATTCGCGGCAACCTCATTGGTGCCGGGACGTTTGGGACGGTGAACCTGGCGGTGAACCGCGAGGACGGGGAAGTGTTTGCGGTGAAATCAGTGCGGGTGGAGCAGGGTAGGATGGACGGCGCGGCGCAGCCTTCATTGGAGGCGCTGGAGAATGAGATTGAGATTCTGCAGAGTCTGGAGTCGAAGTATGTGGTGAGGTGTCTGGGGAGTGATTGGACTGAGGAGGGCGGGAAGGTAATGCGCAATGCGTACTTGGAGTACATGCCGGAGGGATGCCTGACAGATTTTCTGAAGCAGTTCGCGGGGGCGGAGGCGCCCCTGGATGAGCATTTGATCCGGACGTACACGCGGAGCATTGTGCAGGGGATAGACTACTTGCACAGGCAGGGAATCGTGCACTGCGACATCAAGGGGAAGAACATTTTGGTGGGCAACGGGAACGTGAAGCTGACGGACTTCGGATCCGCGAAGAGGGTCGGCGTCGGGGGCGAGGGGAAGGTGGACGGCGGGGAGTCGTCGGCGTTCGCGAAGGTGAACGGGACTCCGCTGTGGATGGCGCCGGAGGTGGTGCGGCAGGACGAGCAGGGATTGGCATCGGACATCTGGTCGCTGGGGTGCACGGTGGTGGAGATGGCGACGGGGAAGGCGCCATGGAGCGATCTGCCGAACCCGTATGTGGCGCTGTTCCAGATTGGGTGCACGGAGGGGATTCCGGCGGTGCCGGCGAGCCTGAGCGCGGAGGCACACGATTTTTTGGGGCACTGCTTTCAGAGGGATCCTCGGATGCGGTGGACGAGCAGTCAGTTGCTGGAGCATCCATTTCTGACGACCCGGCACGTACCTCGGGCGATGGTGGTGAAGGAAGAGGAGGAGGGTGTTGTGAGAGCGGAGTCTCCTGGGAGCGTGCTGGAGAACAACGGGCGGTCAGCGAGCAGCGGGTTTTCATCGGTGTTCAGGAGGTCGGTGCCAATTCTGACAATGCCGTCATTTTTGAAGCGGGGGCTGGTGAGGGAAGCGAAGGAGGAGGAGACGGGAGGGAGTCGGGGATGCAGTGGGTTTTCGAGCTCTCAGTTCGAGATGCCAATGGAGGGAGAGTGGATCGTGGTGCGGTCGCCATTGGCGTCTCCGCGATCAGCTGATCCCACGCATCATGATTGTGCAGTGTTACCGATCACCGCTGCGGTTGAGGAAATTTTATTGTCGATCAAAGATGAAATTGACTCAGCTGTGCAGTCACATGATAGTAATGCAGTGAAATCAACTTGCTCTACAGATTTTCCTCTGGACCAATGCCAATGTGTTGGGAGCATTGAACCAGAATTGGCTGAGCGTCATGGCGTCGAGGAAATGAATGTAACATCGAGCTGTGTTAGGAGTTGTACAGAAGATTGCGATGAAGAAATGTGTTGGAGGGATGACTCTGAGGAAGTTTCTCGGAGTTGTATATATGGGTCAGGAGTACATGAAGACGCTTGTTCCGTTATGAATTTGGAATCCGACGTGGAAGTGGTAGACAATGTGCCGAGTGCATCAGCGGAAGATGGCGGTGATGTGCCCAGACTACCATTGTTGAGAGCGTCTGTGATTGAGTGTCAGGAATGTGATGTGAAGTCAAGGTTTTCCTATGTATTTCCGCAAATGAACTCGGTGCATTTTGGAATCTCTGTGATGGAGTTTACTAGTTCCAATTTGGATGTTACAGTGCAGAAGTCACTGTTTTTGTGGCATAGCTCGGATGGGGGCTATGGTCACGAGTGGATTGAGAGGTGGGACTGGAGCAATGTATATATGAACAATGTGAATATAGGAAAAACTGTCTCTTGGAAGTTTTGTATAGTGTTTCTACATTGCAATAAAAGCTTCGTACTGAAGAAGATATGGAACATACTGTGCCTCTCTTGGTTTCTTCTTTATTGCTTGGGTTAAGTGTGGTTATTTGCCTGATTAACTTTCATGAATTCGAACTTAGAGATTTGGTGACCTCTCTATTGCCTTGAAAATATCACAATGTACACAATGTATTGTGCATGAGGAAACAGTCTCTTCACTGAGGAGAGTGTGCACCAGTTGTGTTTGTTTTCCTTCCGTCTTGTATCCGCATCGGTGAGGCCCAGGCTGTTGGACATTGAGGTCGTTGGGTGTGCGCGCAACATCGATGAAACAAGAATGGAGAAATGATTCAACTCGAGCAACTTTGATTCCACATCACGAATACCTCACATATGCATACCTGGTAAATGGAGTATGGCGACCATTTCATGTCCATGACATGGACCCAAACCCACAATCCAATGTGTCGGTGTGGGTTTTTATGTTGTGGTGTGTTGCAATTAGATCTACTAAACCACACCCTACGTTGCAACTTGCAAAAAAACATCTCGATTTACACTCGTTCGTTAAGTCCCTTCGAGGTGAATGAAGCTCCGTCCTCTCCACTGAAGGAACTGCACTGTTCTCCATCATTTGGGTGCTTTCGACGTTCTAGCCAAGTTTTCAGAGACGAGCTGAAACACGCAGTTCCAGCACATCCTAGCAAGGAAATGGAGCAATGTTTCATCACTACGTCCTTTTCAAGAGCAATCCACAGGTTCAGCTTTTGGTGGAACCAGTTACTCGCGACTAGAAATTGGCTCCATCCGCATTCATCTTCCAACCCTCGCTCACCACGCCTTGGTGTAGATTTTTCTCAAATAAGACGATCAGGACATCCGCCCAATGTATTTGTGTTTTCACAGCCCTTGTTCCAAAACCTTCAACGAAGACTGAGCAGCTTGGGCACAATCGGATGGCCTCGACGACACAAAGGAACCCAAATCCAAAGTCGAACATGGGTGGGTGGAAAACGAAGGTCTGAAAGGACATCGCAATGGCAATTAGCATATCCAATGACGAGAAACCCCTGAAAATGGGTTTTTGTCGTGGTAGATAAAAAGGGTAAACAGAGCCCTCTTCACATGCTCCAGACTGCAGGAAGCTCCTACATTCGCTCACCTCGAAAAGCCATCGCTGCGGTGGTTAATGATTTCATCAAGAGTGAGGCGTCATTTGTTCCGACGGATGCGCTTTAACCCATCCTCATGACACGTTCAACTTCGTTCCCAATTCCCCCTTTCCAAAGCTGGGTAACATGGTCGAATCCATCAACAAGCCTGAACGAACCGGCGACCTCCAAAGATAGATGTGAAAAAATAATGGGTCCGGCGTCGTTGAGTCCTCGCTCCTCATCTTGATAGGTTATAAGCCGTCGCCTCCTCGTCTCCGTGGAAAGAACATCCACACAGTCACTCTCGGGCCCGCTGATTCGATAGAATTCACATGGCTCAATTCATTTGCTGCTGCTCCAAGCGAATTCCCAACAACTTTGCGTGTGTTTTTATTTAATTACTTATTTATTTGGTTTTTTTCTCGGATTCCATCTTTCGCTACAAAGTGCATCTGTCTTGTCAAGGACCCTTTAAAAAGCACTATTGCACTTGGAGTTGATTCATTGGAACATGCCCTCGCCACTCTGCTCGCCTCTCCACCCGTGACTGAAGTCAACCGTTTGTTATCCTAATAATGCTGATTTTCCTGCCACGCGTTAGAATGAACTCATGACATGAAGCTCCGAAGCCCGAAATGGAATTGTTCCGAACAACAAAAACAACAAAGTACACCACAACTGCACAGAATCCAACAAACCCACACCTCATCGTTAAACATTAACCCTGCATGCAATGATATTTGCAGCATGACTGAGCGTTTTTTGTTTGTTTGTTTGTTTGTCTCAACGACTCACTAGAATCACACATCAGACGCCGAAGCACCTCGAATGTCGAGATACTGGGTCGTATGCAGTATGCACCTTCATGCAAATCAGAGACCATGGTCAACGCGTGTCATAAGATTCGAACTAGTTCGCCTCGACACCGATTTTGCGAGATCACGCTCAACATTCACATGGCTAAACTCCACAAGGCAACTCATATCAAATTTATCCCAAGAGGATTTAGTTAATTCCCTGCGTGCTATTCACTATTATGGGCTTTGTTTATCCCTTAACCTCATGTATACTCCGCATGCTTCAGCTGAGCTTAATTACTCTTCCCCTCAAAACAGTGTGTGTGTTGGTGTTTACGAGGAACTTAATCCGCGACCCAACTGTAGGTATTGTGCGTCAGAAAACTGGTGGTTTTTTTTTTGATTTTTTTGATTTTTTTGCATTGGCAGTGAAATAGGCAGAGACAATGTTAATGGTGGTTGACCTCTAGTGTCCAGGTCCACCGGGTTTATGCACGAAATCAACAACTTTAATGAGGAAGAAGTGCAGTGAAGGAGTGTGATTAGATGGTGCCATTGATAATTCTACACAGCCAGGCACATAAACAGATTCTGGGTGCAGGGATCAATCAAAACATGAAGATGAAGAAGGGGTGGGTCTAGTGTGTGTCAGAAAATGTGAAAGTCTTTCAGGTTTCAATGAGGTATATGAATAAATGCAGAATGTGGGGGGTTAATTGTAAAGTTAAAGTGACATCTAAAATTGCGCCGCCTTCAAAACGCTGTAATTTATAAATATTCAAAAATTATAAACGGTCAGAACTAATTATTCATTTTGAAAAGATTTTGATTCGAAACCAATTAAGTTGCTGCCCAAAAAGTTATTCTTCCATGTGGATGTAGAAATTAGGGGAAAAAAAATGCACAAAATCTAATTATACAAAAATTATAGCTTTATAATTTCTATAATCATGAACTAAAAAGACATGTTTTATAAATTTGGTAAAGTTTGGTGATGATGCTAGAACAAATAGCAACCTTAAAGTTGATGTTCAAAGTAGATTTGACAATCTAAAGATTTTAATCTTACATCTAAACAATAAGAGATGTTCAATCAAATTTTGGTTTACTTTAGAAAACTAATTCCTTCTTAAAACAAAACAATACATGTTGGAAAAGATAAAGATGCTACACCAACATGCTAGGAGGTTCTAAAAAGGGCATTACAGTGGTAAAAAGTAAAAATTTAAAAAAAAACAAAAAAATCATTGGAAAAATAAATATTCAAAATTTATGACCAAATGTTTGACATATTTTTAATTGAAGAAAATATCAAAATACTATTTTTATACTTGTAAATTTACAATTTTAAGATAATTCAAAATTTGATGGATATTGCAATTCTAAAACTTATCATATATATATATATATATATATATATATATATACATACATATACACACACACATACATACATCATAATATTCTGGTTATATCATTATTTTAAATTGGATATAATTCAATATCTAAAACTTTCTCTTCTAATATTATGAGACTTTACAAACAATTATTATGACAAGAAAAAAGTATTAAGAATTAATCTTAAAATAAACTAACCTCTATTATAAAACTAATTATATATATATATATATATTCAAATTAAAAATTAGGTATGATTTCCTTGTATTAATGAAAAGACTAATTAGTTGTGCAAATTTTTTTATCATCAAAGGTTAGAGCATCTTTCTATCTTAAAGCAAATAAATAATGAACATTTAGGGGACGTCAAACCCTAGAAATCCACTTTGAAAGCCTGTAGCTCAAAAGTCTTATTAAAGTCATTTACTTAGTGAAGGAAAGCCATTTGTTTTTAAGAGCCTTGGACTTTTGATATAATATGAAGTAACTAAAAACCATGATATGGACAAAATCATTATTTTATTATAAGTTCAAATATGTAGGTTGATATCTTAATTTAAACAATTATGAGAAGTACATCATATATGTATATATGTATATTAATGGTTATTTTAAGTATGTTGTTGAGATGGTTTTTCAATTTTTTTTGAAAACCACTTCTTTGAAATTGGCCTAATGGAACTTCTAAAAAACAATAGTATTTATGCAATATCTGAACTATATATATATATATATATATATTTATATATATTTCATCTCATTCTTCTCTCTTAGGGCATTTTGCCCTGTTTATTTTTTAAATCTAAAGAAAATCAAAGGAGGCTTCTTAATTTCAACCAATCAAAACATTTAAAATTTAAGGTCTTTTATCTTGTCCTATAAGTATAAAATATCCCTTGTATTTTGGGAATATTAAGATAAATAAAAAGAATTTTTAAATCAACTAAGGTTTTCACTAAATCAATCCACCCATCCTAACTATTGTCAAGAATTCTCCACTGTTTTATCTGCACTGGTTGAAAACCAACAAAAAATAGTTGGATCCACAACCAATGATAGTGGGTGGGTTGATTTAGTGAATGCATGGATCAATTTAACAGTTCCCTAAATAAAATAGATTTTTTTTTTTTTAAAGAGTCAACTATGGTTGGAAGAATACAAACACTGTTAAAATCTTCATGTAAAAAATTAATTGTTTGAACATAAATTTTCAAAAAATTCTGGTTTTTAATATAATATCTATCTATCTATCTATCTATCTATATATATATATTAATTGTTTGAATATAAATAATCATATAGTTATAAAATAAGATTTTGTACATTATGATATCTTGTGCACAGAGATAGTTATGACATTAATGAACATTCACAAAAATTGACACCAAACATGATTAATAAATCACAAAAGATAAAACTGTTTCCTTATTTAATTGAATACATATCAAACTACCAAGTTTAGAATGTGAGTAGTCAAGTCAAACCTGAATCATACAATGTGGATTTTGATCCATACAACCAAGTGCATGATGAAATTAGATTCATTGTCATCAAATGCATACATGTGTGATCAAATCTGTACAATTTCAAAAATTATAAAACATAGATAAGATTTGATATCATACGAACTGTGATTTAGTTATTACACTTATTTCTCTCTGCCAATAGAATAATATGTGAATGTATCTTATTTATTTTATTTTATTTTATTTATGTTTCCAATGCCACAAATATCATTAGAAATATTTGTGATGACAGAGATTTTACTTGTTTCGTAGCTAAATATAAAAAAATTGAAACTAATGAAATCTACTTGAAATAGAAGGACAAAACTAAATCTTCAAACTCAATATTAAGTTTTATTAAGATTTAAAATTCGTAATTTAATTTAAAGGAATCGTAATTAATAATAAAAAGTGGCCATAAAACACTCTCTTTTTTTCCCCTCATCTTTCTTCCACTGTTCGAACGTGGGAGCCACTTGTCACCTGCCACGTGGACATCTAACCCAACCACTGACCACAATTTCGTGGAAATTGACTCCTTTTACGTGGCAGCCAGTTAGCCGCACCACCTTACTGGTTACGTGGCGCACTCCCATTCGCCAGCTCATATACTCGTGATGACGTGGTCACACCACGTGGCATCTAAAAGCAATCATTATTTTATTATTTTAAAAAAGGTACTCTCAATGTACCCTTCAGTTGTGAAGTGTGGTAGCCTTATCCAATAGCCCCAACAGAATTTAGGGTTAGGGTTTCAAGGGGTCCTTCTTCCGAGTCAACAAAATCCAAACTGGGGAAAGTTGTTTGGATTCAGTTGTTGTTGTGGTTGATGGGAGGAGGGGGGGGGGGGCACTTGATACACAACTGCTACAAAGAAATGGAGGCCCCAGAGATCCAGAAATTTTGATTTGATTTCATTTCATTTCCACTGGGGATTGGATTTTACGAAGATTCATGTTTGAATGAGATTGAATCCTAATTAGGGTTTTGTGTAAGTTTTGGGGTGTTGGTGTTTTCTTGTGCATCGGGTAACATAGATTGGATTATGTGGGGCTCCAAAGCATGGCCTTAATGGGGCTGTGAGTCATAGTGAAAAATTCTCTGGGTCACTCACTCCACAGTTCAAAACTGATTGCATATTTTTAACAAGAAACTGAAACCATAAAGACTGGGGGAGTGCAAGTAGGTTTGGGCTTTTATGGATTGGAAGAAAATATTTAGGGAGGAGGTAAGATTGTGCAATTTTTTGAAATCTTTTTTTTTGGGTTAACTGTTGCATTTACCAGCACAATAGTTGTTTGATTCAATGATCAAACATCATACACATTAAATAATAAATTTCTTTTAGACATGTTGTAATGCAAAAAAAATAAAAATAAAAATAA